GGGAGCAGAAGAGGGATGGAATGGTGGTTGGTGGGGGGCATGGGAGGGTGGGAAGGAGAGGGATCTGGGATTGATGTGTAAAATATGACTGTTTCTAATTTAAATACAAAAAAGTTTATAAAATCAAAAGACTTTAAAACAAAAACAAAACAACAACAAAAAATCCAATCGTCCTTATTCTTAAGAATTTCACACATGTCTACCATGAAATAATGAAAATATCTTATTACCTATCTTGCTTCCCTACTGGTGAACAGTGCTTTATTGACATATACACAGGACTCTCCCATCTGTTTATGTTTATGCAATGTGTATGGGTTTTATGCACGCTCATATACATGTGCATCACGCAAGTGCAGTGACAAAGGATGCTGGATCCTCTGGAACTGTAGTCACAGACAGTCAATGCCATTAGTGCTGGAAACCGCACCCACCCAGGTACTCTGGACAAGCAGTCCATGCTCTTAACTCCTGAACCATTTCTTCAGCATCTCCCTAAGTGCTCTTGTTCCTCCCATTATATTTGTTTTTATTTAAAAAAACATAATAGCAATGTTTATTATGTTGGGACATGTTCCCTCTTTCCCTAGTCTGTAAAGGCTTTGTTATCATGAAAGGATGTTGGGGGTTGTCGTAGGGACATTTCAGAATCAATTGAAATGATCATGATTTTGGTTCTTGAGTCCATTCATGTGGTGAGTTATATTTATTGACTTCTGTATGTTGAACACTCCCAGCTTCATCACCAACTTGAATGTTGTTTGGTTAAGTACTTTCATCTAGCTTTGTGGAGAGTTTTTGTGTCTATGTTTACTGCTGAGATTAGCCTATCATTCTGTTTTCCTTTGGATCTGTATCTGGTTTAGTTATCAGGGTAAAGCTAGTTTCATATAAAGAGACTGTAAGTTTTCCTTCTTTTTCCATTTTATAGAATAATTTCAGGAGGGTTACCATTATTTATTTGAAGGTTTAGTGTAATTGTATCATGAATCCATTTGACCTCAGGCTTTTTAAGTTGAAAGAGTTTTAATTATTGTTTTATTTTATTGGTTGCTTAGGTCTATTTAAGTTATTTACTTCATATTGGTTTAATTTTGGTAGGTTCTATTGATTCTTTTATTCTTTTTTATCACTACTTTTATTAATATTAATTTGGATCTTCTCTCTTCTGTGGCTAAAGATTCATGAGTTTCATTTATCTTTTCAAATAACCATCTGTTTCACAGATTGATTTTATGATTTTATTGCTTGTTTTTAATTTATCATTCATTAAATTCCACCTTGATTTATATTTTATTTTTTATTTTTATTTTTGGAGACAGAGTTTCTCTGTGGCTTTGGAGGCTGGTTTCTAACACACAGAGATGTGCCTACCTCTGCCTCCCAAGTGCTGGGATTAAAGGCATGTGCCACCTAGCTACAACTTTGATGATTGGATGGATTTTGATTTTCTAATGCTGTAAGGTTCATTATTGTCTTGTATATTTCCAACATCTCTGATTTTTTATTGTATAGGTACTTAGCACTATAAATTTTCATCCCGGGACTTCCTTCACATTATCTCACAGATTTTGGATATTTTCTTGTTGTTAGTTTTCATTTAATTTTCAGATATTTTAATTTCCTTCTTTATTTTTGCATTGCTCCATTTACCATTCAATAGTTTATTGTTATCTTTCCATGGGTTTGTTTATTTTCTGCAGTTGCTCCTTCTGTTGATTTCTAGCTTTATTCCATCAGGTTCAGATTGAATACAGAATGCTGTTTCAATTTTCCTTGTTGAGACTTGCTTGTTGTCATATATGACCTATTTTAGAGAAGGTTCTCTGGGATGTTGAGAAGAATAATTATTCTTTGGTGTTTGAGTGGAATATTCTATAAGTATCTATTAGGTCCATTTGATGGACAATGCTATTTAATTCCGTGTTTCTTACTCGTTTTTTTATATAGTTATCTGTCCAATGGTAAGAGTGGGTTGATGATATCGCCATTACTGTGATGCTGTAAATGTATGATATTAAATCCAATGGTATTTTCTTGACAAATTTGGTGGAGTTTCTATTTGGTAATTTCCTCTTGATGGTATGGCCCTTTTTTATCTGTATGAAGTAATGGTTCTCATTGGCTCACATATTTGAATTCTTAGTCATCTTGAAGTGACACTACTTGAGAGGGATTAGGAGGTGTGGCCTTGTTGGGTAGTTGTGGTCTGTTGGAGGAAGTGTGTCATTGGGATAGGACTTTGAAGTTTCAACAGTCTGCCGCGTGGCCAGGGGCTCTCTCTTCCTGCTGCCTGCGGATCTGGATGTAGAACTCCCAGCTACTTCCAGAACTACGTCTGCCTCTGTGTCACCAAGTCCTCTACTGTGATGATAATTGACTAAAACTCTGAAACAGTAAGTAAGCCTCATTTAAATGCTTTCCTTTGTAAGAGTTGCCATGGTCACTTCACAGGGAGAGAACACTAAGACAGCCTCTTGACCGAGAGTGGTTTGAAGTCTATTTTGTAGACACTGGAATAGGAGCTCTTGTTTGTTTCCTGGTTCTACTTGTTTTCAGTTTTATTTTTACATCCTTTCAGCCTAGGATATTGTTATATTGAGTGGTAAGTTTTGTTTCTTGATGGCAGCAAAGAGAAAGATTTTGTCTTCTAAATAGTCTGCTAGGCTGTATTTTTTGACTGAATTTTAGAGTTTCTATTGAAAGGCATGCATTGTTTCCTGTTATGTTGTTAATCTTTTTGTGTTTGAGAATTTTTCACTCTTCTGTTTAATGAATGTCGAAGCACTAATCTCTTTATTTTGTTTATCTTTTTATATTCCTTCCAATATTCTATGTTGGGCTACTTTACTGGCCAATAATCCCTTTATCTTACTTTTATCATAAAACACTTTCATTTCACCATAACTTACAGCAGAAATTTGCTGAATATATCAGAGTGTGTTTGCAATTATATTTTTTCAAAGTTTGAAGTGAAAAGTCAGCAGTTACTCTGACTGGCCTGCCTTTGTATATGACTAGGTTCTACTCATTTGCATTTTTCAATATACCCCATTTGTTCTGTATATGTAGAGGTTTAAATATGATATGGAATGAGTTATATTTTTCTGGTCCTGTTTACTTGTTTTGTGTGCCTCTTGTATCTGGATAGGCGTCCTTTCCCTATATTTGAGAAAATATCTTCTACGGTTTCACTGAAAATATTTATGAAAAAAATACTTATTCTTATATATTTAGAGCATGTAGGTTTTGCCATAGTTCTTGCCATATTCTGTTCATTCATTCAAAAATGTGCCATCGATTTTGACTGAATCATCCAATACTTCGTCTTCATATCTTCATGCATGATATGATCAATAACATCCACTCAAGTGAACTTTTTATTTGATCTGTTTTGTTTTTCACTTCCATCGTCATTTTGGTTTTGTTTATTTCCAGTATTTTTATCTCTTTACTAAATTAAATCTTGACAATACAGATCAACTTCCTCATTTCATTTTGTTCTCTGTGTTCACTTGGATACCATTCGTGTAGTTTGTGAGCTGTTTCACCATATTTAAAAGTTTTTTGCACGCTGCATCTGAACCCTTTTGTAAGTCATTTTAACTGGGGCATGCTAAAATGGGGAGATAAATGTATGGACCCAGATATTATGAAGTCTGGGTCTGCCTTTCAGCTTTGGGAGATGTAACAGTAACAGGAATGGATATGAGAAAAGATGGAAGTTGGGGAGAGGGAGTGGAGAGAGGGGGTACTAGCATAGTAAGGGACAGTGTTCTATACTACACTGTCTTTTTCTGAGCATCAGTATGAATTTGACTACAGCATTTGAGATCTTTTTGAATGAAATCTTTTTTAAGTCTACTTACTTAGTCTGGGGCAAGAAACTCATACAGAATCCAATCTGTGTTTATAAGTTTCCTAGCCTTTTCTGTCCTTTCTTGGCTCCTTGGTGGCAGGGGGCACCTTAAAAACTGCCCAGGGCTGATCATGGGGAGATGTTGACCACAGATGTGAATTTTCGTTCATAGAAGGAAGCCTTTGGGAATGCTAGCATGGAGATCTCAGTCAGCAATAGTATCTCATCATATATTTGATATTTCAGTAAAAGGTGATGTGCTCTCTGCCTCCCAACATGGTAATTATTAGAGGTGAGGGATGAGTTAATTAACTTGGGCTAACCATCTCAAATTATTAATCTGTATACTGTACATAAACAGTTTTGTCAGTCATACCTTAATAAGGCTGGGGGAGGAAGAACAAAGAAACAACCCCCCAAAATAAAACTGGGCTGTGGACTACAACTATTTAAGACTCAACTCCATTGCCTTTTCCTCACTAACCACAAACTATGGGTGGTTTGCGGCATATTTTCATCTTCCCACACCTTATATATCCTTTTCCGACGGTGTAATATCTTCATTGCTTGAAATGCTAAATGCGTGGCAGGGGACCCTCACATTTCTTGCTGGCAGTGCAGCTGTTTGACCTTTGCTACAGGAGACGCGGCCTAAGGTTTCCTGCAAGCAAAGTTTTGGTGGGAAGTTTTCTCCCTGGAGGAGTGAACGAAGCAACGTTTAGGCGCCCGAGAATCTGTCTTCTCTATAAGAAGGTACACACTGGGTGCTCTTATGGAAATGGCAGTCGAGAGTTGGGGCTGAAATGATAAAGAAATTAAACACTATCGATGCAGGTCTGCAGCAGGGTCTTCTGAGGGAAACAGAGTTCCTTGACCCTCAGGCCAGAAAACGCAAATCCAAATCGGCCATAAAACTCTGTTGTTGCTGTTCCGTTTAGCTGAGCATTAAAATCCCATAGGAAGCCAACCCCCATTATGTATGGAGGAAAACTATTTGACTGGAACGATGCTTTACGTGTTTCTGAAAAAGGAGCATGAATACATTTGTGCAAAAGGAAATGAAAAACGTGGAAAGGCGAACACTAAAGACTTGACATTTGTTAAAAAAAAAAAATCTCAGAAAAAAGAAAAAAAAAGTTACCTCGGTCCAAGCTGGCTCTGCAGACCAGGAACAGCATCAGTCTCTGCGGCTCGCACACCTCCCGGCTGGTCCCGCCCCGCCCCGCCCCGCCCCTGCCCCGTGCGGCCCCCCCAGGCCCCGCCCAACCCCCCGCCCCTTTGGCCCTGCCACCCTTGCTCCGCCGGCTCCGCCCCCATCTCGCCCTTGAGTGACGTCCAGATGCGCGGCCGATCCCGCCCCCCTCTCCGCTGTCGACCAATGAAGCACGGCTTCGTCATTAGCCGAGGCCCGGCCGCCGGTGACGTAGCGCGTCTCCCCGCCCCTCTCCCCGCCTCCGCCGCCGCCGCCGCCGCCGCCGGGTTCTGGGAAGATGGCGAAGGTCACGGAGCGTTACGACGTGACTTGGGAAGGTAACTTCGGGCGGGGAGGGTGCGAGAAGACTTCCTCCCCCCGAGCCCCGGGGGATGGGGATGGTTCACGAGGCCCCGGTGTCCCGGGAGAGGTTGGCACCCCGCGGTGACCTCCGCGGGGCGGCTCGCCCTGGGGCCCGGCCGAGCCGAGTGGAGCCCGAGGCTGCTGAGTTCCTTCGTGGGCCCCGGCGGGTGGCACAGCTGTCGCCTCTGCCGGTCCCTGCACCTCCCCACCCGCGCCTTTCCGCACCAGGCCTGTCGCCCTCTCTTTGGGGGGCCCGAGGGACCCCGGGGCTGCGACTGTCACACCTCGTGTGGCTTCTGGGAGGCGTGGAGGAGGGGGAAGTTATTCCTCTCCCTCTTTTCAGAACCGGCTCTCGAGCCTTCTCAAACCACACGCTGCACAGCCTCCTACCGTCTTTCTGCCAATCGTGCCCTTTTTGTTGTCTGAAGGGCAATGGAACCCGTTCCTTGGGAGGCATGCGTTCCCATGCCATGGTCTTTCCCCGCCTGGCTGATCGAGAGTGCACAACCTGGGAATAAAACATCCAAAGTCTTGGGTCGGTTCTGTATGGGGGCTGTTACCACTCTCAAAACAAAAAAACAAAACAAAACAACAAAACCTTGATGGGAGTCACGCTTAAGAGAATAAATGTGTTTCATTCAAGCATGGAATTTGGGTGCATGGGCAGTGTAGACCCAGCAGTTAGCACAGTGCAGTGTGCACTTCAATAGCTAATCTGCTCATTGAGTGCCTCCCGCGGGCTCCCCGACGCGTCAAGTGAAATTTGCCTGTAACTGCTTGATCGTGAATACATCTCGAATATTATAGGGGGCAAAAGTTTATTACACGAGTGACAATCTTTAGTTTTTGGATGTGCCAAGTGAGAGACAGCCCCAACCCTCAAAGAGTTCTCATTTTAATGGAGCAACAAACAAACCGAGCAATTCATTTTTAAAAGTTTTATGTCAGCATGCACCCTCAGCTGTACAGTAGATACCGTGGGTGGGTGTTCTTTTTCAATGCTTTTAAAAATGTTTTAACTATTTCACGATTTTCCTAGAGTGGTATGTTGAAGGTGCGTGAAGTATAGCTTTTTTTGTTTATTTTTGTTTTTTGTTTTGTTTTTCGAGACAGGGTTTCTCTGTGTAGCTTTGGAGACTGTCCTGGAACTAGCTGTAGGACCAAGCTGGCTTCGAACTCACAGAGATCCGCCTGCCTCTGCCTCCCAAGTGCTGGGATTAAAGGCGTGCGCCACCATCACCCGGCTGAAGTATCGCTTTTAAAAAGCTGTTAGCATGTGCACAGTCAAAGAAAATGTAGGTTCTGAGATTCTCAGTAGCTCGGTACTGTCCTGTTGGCGATCTGCAGTGTAGAGGTGCAATTAGATTTGGAATAGTTTGCTGCTGTACAAATCTGTTGTGCAGGAAAAGAAGAAATAGTTTTAAAGTGGTCCGTAAACTCTTACCAAGAGGAGAAAGTGGTGCTGTTGGTTGATAGGATCATGTCACACTGTTGAAGGAGCTGGCTCTTGGTGGTCTAGCCTGTGCCACCTCTGTGAGCTGGCTCTGCTGGTCTTCCCTGAGTTGCCTGAGTTGCCATGCTCTTGTGTTAGGGGTAGGCACGTGCGACTCCTTCCAGTGAGTGTTCTCTCCTACAGTCTCACTCCTGCCTGTCACTCCTCCCGTCTCCAAACTTCAAACTCTCAGAATTGTGCTGGGATGTTACATCCTGCAGGACTGGATGTTACATCCTGCAGGACATCCAGCAGGACCATTTAGCAGACAGCCTCACACCCCTGCCGCCATATTTCCATAAGAAAGAAGGGGAAAAGCAAGAAGATAAAATACCCAAGCAACAGAATGGAACAAAACCTGTTCTTGCACGGATTGCTTTCTTCCTATTAAAGGACTTGCTGCCTCGTGTTACCTGAAGATTTTTCTTTTCTCTATTAGAATATAAGAAACTAAGCCTACTTTGTTCACTGTTAATGTAACTAGTGCTCGACACATGGGAGAAACTTGATTTATTGTCCCAACTGTTGAAAGTGCTAATAATCAACACTGGTAAGTTGCCCACGATGTTTTTCTAGCCTTCTGGCCACTTACTAGGTGAACTTAGGCAGCCCAGTGACTAGAACACAGTTCCCTTATTTTGTAAAATGAAGGTTTAAATTTGTTGAGAACCTCTATTTTTTGAGGGCTTTTAGAAAGAGAAAGTAATTCTGGGCTTTTAGTTCCGACACTTGTGGAGAAGATTTTTGAGATGCAGGTGAGGGCTCTTAGAGATGGCGTCTAGTTTAGATATGGTGGACAGCGTCAGCTGTATCCTTAGAATTCCAGTGGCATCGTAAACTGGTGTAAAGATGTGTGTGTATAGAGTGTTTCTGCGCATGTGTGTGTTACACACAAGGGTGCCGGTGTGCAGGGACACAGAGACACCAGAAGAGGAAGTTCTTGCTGGTTCACTCCCCACCTAATTCATTGAGGCAGGGTCTCTCATCGTATCTGAAGTTAGGCTGGAAGACATCAAGCCCCTGAAATCTCTCTCTGTTCTTCCCAGTGGTGGGGTTCCAGGCACCAGGACTTTTTATGTGGTCTGAGCAAATCGACTCAGGTTCTTGTGCTTGCAAAGCAAGGACTCTGACCTACCAAGAGCTCTTAGTCTCTGAGCATCTTCCCAGCCCTGTAGTCCTTGTAACAGGAAAATCTGTCAGCTGGGTATAAAAGACAAGTAAGTCTAACACTCTGTTAAATATCAGATGCTATAATGGAAGCTCATTTGTGAGCCAGCTGAAGGGTGTTGAGTTGGAGACAGGAAAGAGAAGTTAGAGCTGTGAGGAGAGTAATCAAATGTCTTGAGGCTATGTATCCATGCAGGGCTGGATAGGGGGCTTTGTGCACTGCCTAGTATAACATAGGTAGGAAATCCTGGTTGTTTTGTTTGTTAGTTTTTGTTCGTTTGTTTGTTTTTTAGAGACAGGGTTTCTCTGGCTTTGCAGGCTGTCCTGGAACTAAGCTCTTGTAGACCAGGCTGGCCTCGAACTCACAGAGATCCGCCTGCTTCTGTCTACTGAGTGCTGGGATTAAAGGCATGTGCCACCACCACCTGGCTGTTTTGTTTGTTTGCTTGTTTGTTTGCTTATTTGGGTTTTGTTGTTGTTGTTGTTTTGTTTTTCATCCTGTAGGAAACCACACTTTTGAGATTTTTTTGTTTTTGTTTTTGTTTCTTTTTTTTTTTTTTTTTCAAGACTGGGTTTCTCAGTATTGTTTTGGAGGCTGTCATGGAACTTGCTCTGTAGACCAGGCTGGCCTCAAACTCACAGAGATCCACCTGCCTCTGCCTACCAAGTGCTGGAATTAAAGGCATGTGCCACCAATGCCTGGCTCACTTTTGAGATTTTATGGATGTGACTTTCCTGACATATCTAGGAGACACAGTCTCACAGCCAACTTCCTGATCTCTGACTCTCAGTCTTTGCCTCCTTTTCTGGGATGTTTTCTGAGCCTTAGGTGTAGTGACTGTTTTGTTGATATGTCTACGGGTGTCACGATTTACTTTCTGTGTCTTCCTTTTCCTTTATGGTGCTAGGAAGACCTTGTGCCGATTCAAATGTTTGTATGTTATTCGTCTGTGTTATTCCTGCTGATTGACTATTATACAGATTACTCCTTCTCTGTAAGATTTTGATTTGTTTTTTATCTTTGAGTGTGTGTGTGTTTTGTGCATGCGCTCTCTTGTGTGATAGGGTATGATGTAAGTGCCATACGTTTCTGCCTGTGTTTTGCCTATTGATTTCTACCCAATACTTCAAGACAGTTTCTCTCACTACACCTTGAACTCACTGATTGGCTAGACTGATTGGCCAATGAACCCCTAGTATCCACCCATCCTATTACAGAGCTTAAGGGAAGGTGTTGCAATACCCAGCTTTTTGCAAGGGCTCTAGGGATTGGAAGTAGGATCTTTATTCTCCTGTGGCCAGTGCTTTACCATCTGAGTCATCTCTCCGGCAGCCTTTGTCTTCTTGGTAGCATTTAATAGGTTCACTTCACACTTTTCCTACTGCTCTCTTGATGGGTTCCCTGTATCCGTTTGCTTCCAAATGCTGGAACACACTAGACTGATTTCATGTCTCACTAGTGCATTAGAGCACATACTTGGGAGAACATTTCCACTGAAGTTTCAGTGCATGGAAATAAATGGTGTTTTTAAACCCCTTCAAATTTAGTACCCACACTGGTTCTTAAGCCCCATAGCAAGTTTCTTTATCCTGTAACTGACCTTATGATACAAGCTGGCAGGACTGAATAGTTTCTAAAGGTATCTGCTGATTCATAGAAGTGAACCTGTAAGTGGTACTTCAGAATACACACTGGAGTGGAGGAAGTTCAAAGTTGGAGGAAGTTTTGTCCAAAAGAAGCAGAGTAGGAAGCACACTGTTTCCTCATTTTCCAAGGCCCAGGTGTCTTAGCACAGCGAGAACTTTGTTAGGGAGAGATGAATAGGATAGCTCCTTTATAGTCTCTCATTACCTCCAGTGCATAGACAGAAACTAATAGCATGTATATATAGCATATATAGCATATATACATATATATATATGTATGTATGTATGTATATTATATATATTAAATGACTTTGGCTTTAAAAGGCATGCCATCTTTGGGGGACAGCCTAAAAT